AGTAGGCGCGATAGGTAACGCCGTGTCCCTCTGTCGCCGCGCCGGGCCCTGGGACTCTCGTTACGTCTATATCGAGACTGCCGGCCGACCCCGGCGATTGCAAAAGTCCCGGGTTACCATTTTTGTGCCGACGGATCGATACGATTTCTGCCGGCTCGATTCAGATCAGTCGAGCGTTCTTGAGCTACCTCGGATTCGTGGGCCGCGTCGCTGTGCCGCCACCGTGGCGTTGCGATGAGTTATTGTGCGGCGAGGCTGCGAAGTTTATCAACAAACGAGCGAGTACGATAGGTTCGAGGCTGCTGCCGTGGAAGACCATTTCGTGCGGTCATTTAGATAGAACTGGGCTAGGCTTGTCGGAAAGAACCGGTCGCTCGAGTCGGTGCACATCCGTCACGTGGCCGATGTTTTCGTTTATCTACTTTTAAACATAGAACTGTACTCGGGTGTTTTTCGGGGTTCTCGTATTCTTATGGTTGGAATAGATCTCGATAGCGATAATCATGGATGCTGTGGACTGCTTCTCGGAAGAGTAATGACAATAATGATAATAATAACTTTATTGTTCGACGGGATAACCCGTTGTTACAGAGAGAGAATAATAATGTAGGCGAGACAAACAAGGTATGCTAATCGATGCAGTTGTTTATAAATCTGTGGCCGTAAGGGAAATCACACAGCAAAAAAAGCAGTAAATTAATTGAATTATTGAATATTTGAATTATTGATACAATTATTGAATTATTGATATATTAATTGAATTGTAGCATATAGGATTGACCTATTTATCAGGAAAGACATCGAGAAAAGAAATTCTATAGACTTGGAACAGACGTGTGATTAGAACTTTAAACGACCATACCTCGGAAGTGAAAAGATGCGGCTTACGGCGTTGTCGAATTATGAACTCGATAAAATTCGCCTTTCATGGGAGGCTGACATGAAACACGGGGGAAACGTTTTTAATGAATGACTTGGAACGATCGCGATAGCGATCGCATAAACGGCGCCGATTAGAGACACTGAAAGGGTACGCGCAATTAACCAATTAATGAGCGTCGCGAGGCGGAATCGAAGGCAACCGAAAGGAACAGTCATCGGATTTCGGTGGGCAATGAAAGGATCGGGCGGGTATATGGGGCTGCCTCGTGCCACCCACGCGAGGGCTTTTCACGCCTCTGACGCGACTAGTTTCTTTGCCGGGGCACCGAAAGCCGTCGCCGGTGTTGGCCCTTCGGATATCTCGGTCATGACAGATAACACAATGGCTCTAATACGGCGCACTGTGAAAAGGGTAAAGAGGTACCCACGATGACGGCGCCGATGAATGGTGGCCCCTGGGAGAGAGACGGAGAGAGTTTGAGAGAGAGAGAGAGAGAAAGAGAGAGAGAGATACTGAGGGGGGAGGGCTGCACCTATCTTATCGGATCTCCTTCGAGCTGCGGCGCAGAGCGAGCAACTCTTTGACAGTGGTGCCCATTGTTCCACGTGATCTCCTCGACCTGCTCGTTTTCAGTCTGTGATCTGAGCGTTCTTGCGTGCGATTTCCTCCTCGATTCCTCTCGAACGATCGAATTTTTTCGGGGTGACTCCGTAATGAAAGGTCGCCGGCGAGATGGCTCTTTGACGGACCGTTAGGAATCCTCTTTATGCCTTTTCAGAGACCTTTTCGAAATCGTGGCGGCTTTTCACGGGCCGGCGATGCAATAGCTTTGACGGACTTTGTCTTCGGGCTTGACAGCCTGTCGATTTCACGATCCTTCGGGCCCTTGGGATCTTTGAAAAAAATCGCTGCTCTTTTGTTTCTGTTCAAGCTGCTTCCTAGTGTTTGCTCATCGAAATCAAAAGGCTCCCTCATTTTTAAAGGCTGTAACAAAAATGCATAAAAGCGCCCAGGAAACATTCCCGCCCTTCTTAGTTAATTCGTTGTAACTAAAATTTCAGATCACTCCCCCAAAAAATAAGGCTTCGAATTAGAAAAATCATTTTTAAATAAGCGAGAACAAATAAATGGAATTACGATTGGAACTCTACGAAGTATATAAAATATCCTAGCTTTACTTATAAAACGTAAAAGGCTTGCGATGTTCCGAATATTTTAAAATACCCTAAAAAGTGGCAAATTAGTAGATAAGACATTTTAACTAAGGACGGCAGCATAGGTTCAATAACTATCCATATTACGTAACATTGGACATTGAAAAGAAATTGACCATTTTCTCATGTACCGTCCATTCAGTCCAAAAGTAGATTTGGACGTCTTTGGATCAATTAAATTTACAAAACAGGAGCACAATAATTTTATGCGCTGTGTACAGCGTTACGTTCAATGTACAGAGATCGTGCGACTGGCCAATGGAAAAACAGGATGTCGAAGACCGAGAACAGGTAAAGTCCTGAAGCTGAGACAGAGAGAGAGAGAGAGAGAGAGAGAGAGAGAGAGAGAGAGAGAGAGAGGGGGGGGGAGGGCAACCCGGCAGCATTTTGGTCGGCGCGCCGCTGCACTTGACAGAAGAGGAGCATTGTCTCGCGCGTTGACTCGGGAAGAATGGACGGCACACACACCCACGCGCGCCGCTTTTTCCCTCCCCAGGGGTGTTCTGTTTGTGGAAAAGAAGGCGCGCGCGGTTGCCCAACACATTGAATGCAAACATCGCGGCACCGTAACGGATTAGAGGCTCGTCCGATTGTAGTTCTCGGGTTAATGGCTCGCCGGCGATCGTTTCCATAAATACTCGGCGTCGGTCCCGCTCGCGGCCGGTATACATCTCCCGATATCGAAAGCGAGCGCGGCCGCCTTCGATCGCGAGCATAATGGCACGCCTCCGCCGCGTGGCTGTGCATCATCGCCGTTGAATGACTTAATAAAAGAATCTCGATTACGCCAGTCCGGGATTCCAAGCGACGCGGGCGAGCGAACAAAGGGTCGGCCGACACGGGCCGCCGCCGCCGTCGCCGCCGCAGCGAGGCCCGGGTGGGCCCGGTCGTGCTCGGGTTCGTTCATCGAGCCTCGACTCCTCTCTCCGCAGCGGTGATCCGCGCACGGAGAGCGAGAAGGTGCGAGATAAGGCCTTTCCTGGCCAGCTAATGGCACGGATTTATGTGGGTTAGGGCGTCGACTCTCCGCGCGCAAGAAAATCTCACTTGCTTCAGCGCGAGCACCGTGACTCATACGCGTCTGCCCACCTAATCCGGTGCCCGCTTGCTCGGCTAACCGGCGCGAGATGGCGCGGGACGAGGGGCCCGGTCGAGGAGGAAGAGGCACAATGAAACGGGCGAGAACGACAAGTTGGACGCGAAATACAATGCGGGCGTGGGTCCTGGCATCAGGCAACGCGGCCAACGAGGCGAATCTCGCGGCCTTTTTTCCTCTTTTTTCCCCTCTCTTTTCCTCTCCTCCTCCCTCTTTCTCGCTCTCGATCCTCTTCCGACGCTACGGCCGTCTCCCTCGAGCGCGTGCACACGCACGGCTAGGCCACCTTCTCCGATCCGGGAGATCTCCTACACTTTTCCTTTCGTCCGGACGTGCCGACGGCGTGTCGTGTCGTGTACAACGAGGATATCTTGTGCAAGTACCCCGACCTAGCCTAGCGTCGCGGAGACGCGCTTCGCGCCCTCGTTACTTCGAGCGCGGAAAGCTCGTGTACGGACCTTGAAACCGTTTTCCAACCATCGAGATCGACCTGCCGCGCGCCGCTCTCTCGCTGCTCGCCAGAGCGAGGCGAAAACCCGCGCTATTCTTGGGGAACGAGCACGCCGCCGCGCCGCACCGGCTTCGCAGACACGCGGCCTCGGCATACGCTTTTCGAGCGTGCTCGCGACGCCGTGAAATTTATTGTAAACGACCCGGGTGTGCTATCCTTTCCAGCCACGTCGAGGACGATTCGTCCTTAATTAGCGAACTCAGGCTCGCGCAACTCGCCCAGTCTGNGAGAGAGAGAGAGAGAGAGAGAGAGAGAGAGAGAGAGAGAGAGAGAGGGGGGGGGAGGGCAACCCGGCAGCATTTTGGTCGGCGCGCCGCTGCACTTGACAGAAGAGGAGCATTGTCTCGCGCGTTGACTCGGGAAGAATGGACGGCACACACACCCACGCGCGCCGCTTTTTCCCTCCCCAGGGGTGTTCTGTTTGTGGAAAAGAAGGCGCGCGCGGTTGCCCAACACATTGAATGCAAACATCGCGGCACCGTAACGGATTAGAGGCTCGTCCGATTGTAGTTCTCGGGTTAATGGCTCGCCGGCGATCGTTTCCATAAATACTCGGCGTCGGTCCCGCTCGCGGCCGGTATACATCTCCCGATATCGAAAGCGAGCGCGGCCGCCTTCGATCGCGAGCATAATGGCACGCCTCCGCCGCGTGGCTGTGCATCATCGCCGTTGAATGACTTAATAAAAGAATCTCGATTACGCCAGTCCGGGATTCCAAGCGACGCGGGCGAGCGAACAAAGGGTCGGCCGACACGGGCCGCCGCCGCCGTCGCCGCCGCAGCGAGGCCCGGGTGGGCCCGGTCGTGCTCGGGTTCGTTCATCGAGCCTCGACTCCTCTCTCCGCAGCGGTGATCCGCGCACGGAGAGCGAGAAGGTGCGAGATAAGGCCTTTCCTGGCCAGCTAATGGCACGGATTTATGTGGGTTAGGGCGTCGACTCTCCGCGCGCAAGAAAATCTCACTTGCTTCAGCGCGAGCACCGTGACTCATACGCGTCTGCCCACCTAATCCGGTGCCCGCTTGCTCGGCTAACCGGCGCGAGATGGCGCGGGACGAGGGGCCCGGTCGAGGAGGAAGAGGCACAATGAAACGGGCGAGAACGACAAGTTGGACGCGAAATACAATGCGGGCGTGGGTCCTGGCATCAGGCAACGCGGCCAACGAGGCGAATCTCGCGGCCTTTTTTCCTCTTTTTTCCCCTCTCTTTTCCTCTCCTCCTCCCTCTTTCTCGCTCTCGATCCTCTTCCGACGCTACGGCCGTCTCCCTCGAGCGCGTGCACACGCACGGCTAGGCCACCTTCTCCGATCCGGGAGATCTCCTACACTTTTCCTTTCGTCCGGACGTGCCGACGGCGTGTCGTGTCGTGTACAACGAGGATATCTTGTGCAAGTACCCCGACCTAGCCTAGCGTCGCGGAGACGCGCTTCGCGCCCTCGTTACTTCGAGCGCGGAAAGCTCGTGTACGGACCTTGAAACCGTTTTCCAACCATCGAGATCGACCTGCCGCGCGCCGCTCTCTCGCTGCTCGCCAGAGCGAGGCGAAAACCCGCGCTATTCTTGGGGAACGAGCACGCCGCCGCGCCGCACCGGCTTCGCAGACACGCGGCCTCGGCATACGCTTTTCGAGCGTGCTCGCGACGCCGTGAAATTTATTGTAAACGACCCGGGTGTGCTATCCTTTCCAGCCACGTCGAGGACGATTCGTCCTTAATTAGCGAACTCAGGCTCGCGCAACTCGCCCAGTCTGATCCCGATGATAACCGAATGATTGCTCGTGAACTAGAATCTCTAATCGATGATCTGTGTTGCTCCGTTAATCGTTCGAAACGGTTTATGCGTGATGCTTTTGGTTTTGAAAGTCGACGCTGCCCAGTAAGCGAGAATTTGTAAGTAGACAGCGTACTCTTATGTAGAATAAATACTTTCAATATTTTTGAATACTTTGTACATCTCTATGTATTTGTGTTTCTTCCGTTCACTTTGTCATAAATGCGCCGCATCCACAGTTTTAACATTCTCGTGTTTTTCTGTCGAATTTTGTGTCGAATTTTATGTCGAATTAGTTCTGCAATCAAGATAACGATTTCTATCTCATCCTACATTTCTATCACATCCTATGGACAATTAATAATCTAATCTGATTAAAATGTTCCCACGAGAAATTCAATCCCACTGACACATTTTGTTTAAGGAGTTAAATATTGATAGCAATTATTGCTTGTTGCAAATGTGTGCCCGAAAACGGAAACGTTAATGTTATGATGAGAACGATACCGAACGTCGAAGATTTCGTATTGAATATTTGGTCTAATATCGGTTGTAGGGTGCTGATCTCAGCGCTGCGCAGGAGGCACTAGGGACTAACGCCTGCGCTGGCGACTTCGAGCGCGGCTAGACGAGCACCGTCGGCGCTGGAGACCTCGATGCGCCACTAGACGAGTACCGTCGGCGCTGGAGACTTCGATGCGCCACTAGACGAGCAACGTCGGCGCTGGAGACTCGAACGGACGGTTAGGCGACTGACGTCGGCTCTAGCATCGGCAGGCTGTCGGAGCAACTAAAATGAGTGGTTTTAGATCTCTTATTATACAATTATTGAAATTAAATGTCGGAGCAGAAAGCAAATATATCATGCGTACATATGATTCTAATCCCGACATGTATTGTATGTACTATTCTATGTTGGTACTTGCTATATGCGTATGTGAGACTCCGTGGCGGTCATGTGCGAACAGACTCGTCAGTTGTTTGGATCACCTCGTGCACTACGATCGTCTTGAAATAGAAAGTTTATATTATATATACAGTTATTCACATTATTCAAATACGATGAAGCAGTAAATAAATTAATTCATTTGTGGGTACGTTACGATAAAAATCGCACTATTGTTTACAGAGCAATACAATGTACGTTTACCATCGAAATGTTTATCGTTATGTATTACTTTATATTCGATGTTTTCATGTATCTGATATGTCCACGATGATGTTTTACGTCTTCAATAAACGTTCGAACTTAATAAAAAAACATTTTTGATTTATGATTCGTATCGAATTCTTCTCGCCGCGGATAGTGCCGCTTTCATGTGACTTCTCAATTAACGATTATAACTTAATAATTTCACGAAGTAAAGCCGTTGGGTCGATCATTAAGAAGCAGCGTCACGCGATCGACGGATTGCATCGCGCGAGCGCCGTCCAATCTGTCGGCCGGTATTTATTAATATCGATGTCACGTTTATCGTCCTTATCGCATCCGCCATGCGCACCGTATAATACGGTCGCTGTTATACGCCGATCGCCGTGTTACAGCGTGTACACTCAAGAATGCAGGTATACACCACTTGAGTACCGTCGGTCGTGATTTACGATTAGGTAGTCCAGAAATCGACAGTACATAGCCAATAAGAAGAAAATAAATGTTTGCAACAAGGCCTGGCGGGCACGATCTACGACTAAGTAAGCTGATACGCTCCCGTGAGCGAGTTCGATCCGGCAGGTTCTCTCTCGAAACACGACGACGTGACCTTCGTGGCGAGATGCATCCGGGGGAGGAGGGGGAGGAGGAAGAGAGGCGGAGAGGGTAGCGCAGAAACTTATCCGATCGGGAGTGACGAGAAATTTAACCGGCTCGGTACGAATCGAATGCCATCGGCGGCGGATCGTCGATGTAAATTCAACGGTCTTCGTCGATTAACGATAACATTAAGTCAAACATCGTAAAGTACGAGCCCGGGTCGGTCGGTAAGAATGGAGAACAGGGAAAAGGGACGAGAAAAAGGTGGGGAGGACTGCTCGAGTAAACGTGACCGAGAACGGAACAAAAAATAAAGAAGCAGAGAGAGAGAGAGAGAGAGGGTGGAAGAGGGTGAGAGAGGGGGAGATGAGATAAGAGAACAAAAAATAAAAGCGCTTCGTTCGTTGGCTGTTCCCCAGCCATTGGCATCGTACGGTCGCAATAAAACCTGAAAATGAAAGCTCGAAGTGATTCGTTCGTAGGCCAAACACGAAAGTGCCCTAAGCTTCTATCTTATCCACTCCTACCTGTCCCGGAGCATTCTGATTTTATGACCGAGGGCTGGATGAAGCGGGTGAGCGGGCACCTGTTTCGGCACAAATGTTACGCATATACGGGGAAAGGTGATCATCGTCCATTGTCGGACGGTGTGCTTAGGATACGTTTTTAGCGATCACAAGCGCCGACCGTGGCAATTGGTCCTTAACGGTGTTAGACGTGTTTGTCGGACCGCCGGTCTACGGGCCGGCCGGTGCGACGCGACGGTATCGGCTTCTGCATTCCTGCAATCGGCTTTAAGTGGCGCGTATACGCCCCGGACACTAATGATACTTTATTGGTTGTGTACCCGATGTTACGCGGCAACCGGCCAGCGACACGCTAAAATTTTATCCTCGACAAACAACGCCTCGGAGCCGTGCGCGGCCGTCTTTTATTGCCGATCCCAAGCGAGATCGGAAACGCGTTCGGATCCACGAAGCTCGGAAACTTCCACGAGACGACACCGTGTCGAAAACACACCACCAACCCGGTCGCGTTCACCCGTGAGAAATCACGGAGGCGACACCTCCGAACAATGGCCGCTCGCACCCACGTGTTATTCGAGGTGATATCGTTGGCGTCGGCCGTAACTGTCCCGGAAGGTTCGTCATAAACTGTAACGAGCTACCGTGCACCGAGATATTTATGACCGCGTAAAACGGAAATTTTACATCGTTCCCCGTCGTTATACTTTTCAATCGCGCCACCTTATTAGCCGGATAGGCCCCTTTGCGCCTAGACCCCCGATGATATACACTGATACCCGAATGTACCGCGGTGTATGAGTTATCGCCAGTTTTCAGTAGTGTTTCTTTTAAAGCTGCACTAAATCAACCACTATCGCCCCACCTTGCGTTTAATGCAACTGTTTAGTAATTGTCTCGCAGTTGAAACTTATTATCATATTCACCGAGTGATTTGCGAGCCGATCCGTTCGTTGTCCGGTCACGCATTGTTTATGCCCCCGGCCATCGAATCCAACGATTTTTCCGTTAACGTGATCTGTGATTTAGACAGTCGAACGAATCCCTGTCTATTCGATTAAGTATTTTCATCCTTTCACAGACGTCGTTCGAATACTGACACATTTCCTGTAATACCTGAGACACGAAGCTAAGCTTTCCTTCGAGATCGTGTTCATATTTTTCGTTTTATATTAACGTGTACACAATTGTTATTGTACGAGAGAGTGGGTTGCGAAGCAGCAAGAAATAACTTTTACGTAACGTTGACGTATAAAAATGAAGAATGCGATAAGACAATTCGTAGTCGAGGCTGCATTCTTCGTAACTGGTGAATTTTTCAGCTAGGAAACGAAGAAATCGGGCGTTTCGCGCCATATCGAATAAATCTCCAATAAATTGATGCAATTTCACTTACGTTCAGAATTATTGACTCGGGGTATAAAAAGAATACCTGTCGACAAGATCAACATCAAGCGGACTCCAAAATGTACAGGATGGGCCGGAATTCGTAGTACAATCGAGCAGGGGTTGATTCTACGTGCTAAAAATAAGAACAAAAATTTGGTATAACGTTTTTCTTTATCCGGTGCTCCGTTTTCGAGAAAATTGACTTTAAAGTTTGTTCGTCTTTGTAATGGATTTAGTTGTCGCATATTTTTCTAACGCGGTAGCCTCCGTCCAAGATAGCGTTTGCAAACATTAATTGTTGCGATCTATGCAGTAAACGGATTGTTTCTATCATAAACTGAATTCGAAACAAAAATCAGCGCCCTTATTTCTTCCTCCCTCTTCGTTGATCTCTCAAGGTCATATCATGTCTCGGTAGCACTTTTAGTTCACACTTTCGTGATATTTGTAGGATACACTTTCGATCTGTAAAAAAAGATCGGTGCAATTTTATCGTTAAATTTCGTTCCGCGTAAGTTGCAAAAATTGGTGGTTCCGTCGGAACGGTGAGCACCGAAGAATCCGTCAGGTATCCTCGGGGACTGTTTACCTTTCCGTTAAGAGAAAGAGGGAGAGAGCAGCGATTCACCTCACTCCGGATTCCGCCTCGTAAGCGTCGACACGCGCGTTAAATCGGTTATCATACGGTAGTATTCGCGATGGAATTCCGGCGTCGCGTACACCCGGCTCGGCTCGGCTTGGCTCGGCTTCGGTGTGCGTCGGTGCGTGTTTCGATCGTGCATCAGCAGATGACACTTGCCGCCCCGGTCACGCACAAACTATATTCGTCTGAGCGACGGGCACACGGACTGGAGTGACCGGCGCGGCGCGGCTGCCGGTTTCACGGTGTAACGACGCACACCGTAACAGCCGCGGACGAGGGTGAAGACACTTCAGGGTCAGACATCTGCGCATCGATATGAGGACCTCGTATAACGCTCGCACCGGCTCATACTTATGTTACGCTTAACCGGCCGTGCCGGTCCGCGCTCGCCGCTCAGGTATGTCCGTGATATTTTTTCCGATACACGCCCGCCCGTATTAATTGGTAATTGCGGAAGCTGTTACGCGGCTAACGATCCGACGTCGTTTCTTGCGCGCCGAGCCTCCGCTCGCGTGCTTCGCGTTGCTTGACCTCTCGTCGCGCGAATCTCTGATTGGAACGCGAAGAAAAAAAAGAGGAACGTTCGGATCACGAGAAGATCGAGAGGAAAGCTCTCGGGAAATTGTTCCTCGCTTGGTTACACCGAAATTCCGCGGCTGATTTTCTCTGCCGTTCGCGAATATCGGAAACTATTTCTTGTTAACCCTCTTAGCGACGATCGAAGAGTCCGCGTGTGTCCGTGCGAGTAGTTCGGCAAATAAGAAATGAATCTGCTATTTATTAGAGATATTAAGGAAACAACGTTCTCACAATTCTAGGCAACAATCTTTGTTCGGCAGTGAAAGGGTTAAGTATGCTAATGCACGCACCGATATCACGAAGAATAATACATTTGTACGGCTACAATTGTATTTCCATTTTAATTAGAATAAAACTGTTTCGTATCGAATGCAGGAGATAAATTGCCGATATGGTATTTCTATATAAAATAATAAATGGAGTAATGGAATTAAAATAATATCTTCTTACTGGACGCGAGAGAAACCAGAATTGGAAATTTAGATCCGATAACTTGTATGTTATAATTATAACATAATTTTTGTGCCACCTTGGACTTTTTTGCGTTCTCGACTGTCTCATTGAAGCGTGATGTAACACTTTTAATTATATTGGCATATTTTAATAGCAGCATTTACCGCAGTCGAATTTATTAATCCCTTGTATATCAATCGGTTTCACCCTTATATGAATCAATAAATAAATATGGAATTTATACGAGCACTCGCGCGACTAAGTGATGCGTTAACGATCGAGTTTAAGCGTTTTCGGGAAAATTCTCCATTAAGGAACTAACCGTAATTAAACGACTATTTGCTGACCGAAATCGTGTTATTTCCCAAGACGTCAGACACTTGTTACAAATTTTCTGAAACGAGTTCTCGCGTAGCGGTAACCGACCTCGTTTCACTTAATTACAGAGTACAAAACGGCTTCTTTAATGCGACCGTAGTAATTTCGGGTTGCTGTTCGCGTGACGCAACCGCAGGAACAAAGATACCCCTGCGAATCGGTTCGAGATACACGTTTCGATACGACGGCTCCTTTTTTCCATACAGTCCGAAACTGATTAACTAATTACTGCTATTCATTTCAGTGCCGCTAATTAAAAAGAGCTACAGGCGCTCGAATGGTGTTCTAACTCGCTCGCTTTGGTATCAAACACGTTGTGACTTGTCAGTCGAGCGAACACCAGTGACGTGACAGGGACACTTTGCTTCGACGCTGTTCGAAAACTTTAGCAACGCGGCGTTGACGCTTGTGTATGCAATTACTGCAGACGAGTATGTTCTTATTTCATTTCGACTTTATAACACATAGGGAATTGAAGCCGCTTAATGCGAGGTGACCGATTGCTGTGCTTTCGGTTTGTCTTCGGGCGTTAATTAACTTTATATTTATCGAGTAAGG